TATTATTATTATTATTATTATTATTATTATTATTATTATTATTATTATTATTATTGAAAATCTAAAATTAACAAACTTATAAATCATTGTTTGCTAGTTCAGCCCTTTGCTTTATTGATGCTAAACTAAAATTAAAGACAAACTTGTTCTGCTGGAATGTTTAATGTTCATCCTGTTGGATCAACTCAAGGTTCTGTCCTTCACTCAGACTGGAATGCTGCTGGTTGTCGAAGATCAGCTGTTCGTGTTTGATTTCAGCTCTGAAGTCCAACCCCTCCCATCTGACAGACCTGGACCTGAGTGGGAATGACCTGTTTGACTCTGGAGCGATGGAGCTCTGTGGTTTTCTGGAGAGTCCACACTGTAGACTGATAACTCTGAGGTCTGATAACATGTTTTGATTTTGTACTGATGTGAAATTGTGTTTGACACTAAACTGCATATGGTAACTAACAAGGTTGAGTCAGGTCCGCTGGACGGATTCTTTTTTGTTGAAACATTTCTTTTATCCAAAAGACTTCTTCAGTGCATATCTGAAAATACACTGACCTATACTGATGATGTTTATGGTAACATCTTTTTTTTTCTAAAGAGCTTTAGCCTCTGAAATAATCAAAAAGAGACAAACTTCATTTTATAATGTTGTCCAGCCCCCCACGGTAACAACAATACGTTCTCTGGTTCATTTTTGCTGTTATGTTTTAATTAACTACAAAACTCAAACACAATATATCATGGTTGGGAACAAGTTTGGGGTCTGCTTGTTTCAAAGCAAGCATATTTTTGTGCACACGTGAATTATATTATTACATTTTGTATCCATTAAAATAAATCTGTCTTTGTCCTCAAAGTCTGTCAGCCTTTTTTCTTTTACAACCTAACAAACTGTTAACTGTTTTAATCTCCACTGTGTTGATTTAAGCTCAATTGTCTGATTCTTCATTCAGACTGGAGAACTCTTGGTTGTCAGAGGACAGCTGTGTTCATCTGGGCTCAGCTCTGAAGTCCAACCCCCTTCATCTGACCGAACTAAACCTGAGTGGAAACAAACTGAAAAAACTGAAGGAGCTCTGTGGCTTTCTGGAGAGTCCACACTGTAGACTGAACACTCTCAGGTCAGTGACGTTTTAGTTTTAAGCTAAGATTAATTTGATTACTGATCCACACTGATGAGTTGGTGTGCGTGTGTGTGTGTGTGTGTGTGTGTGTGTGTGTGTGTGTGTGTGTGTGTGTGTGTGTGTGTGTGTGTGTGTGTGTGTGTGTGTGTGTGTGTGTGTGTGTGTGTGTGTGATTTACAGTATTTCAAGTAACAAATTTCTATTCCCTTTCAGATGGTTCATCACGTTAAACGTCTCTGTAATACTTCCCTGTAACTAATGAAAATTATTTTATCAATATATTGTTTAATTCTTCAGTGAATATTGCCAACTATTTTTGCTTTCTGTGGAAACACCTCCTAGACTGCATTCCAGTGTATGTTCCAGTGCATGTTCCAGTGCATGTTGCATTGCATGTTGCATTGTATGTTCCAGTGCATGTTGCAGTGCACCTGCTCAGTTCTGCCAACCTGTTACTGTCACTGCTCTGCCTTACAGGTTTTAATAGAAAAGTAAAACAATAACTTGAAATTACAGAAATTTTTTCATTCGCCATCACATAAACAAACATTTAAATTTGAAATACAAACTAAAATGCAAATAGTTTATCTTTTTTTTTTAAACACTGTTTTTTTTATTTTTCAATTTTTAGAACATAGAATAAAATAAAATAAACACAGAACAAGCCCCGCACCCCTCTTCCCTCCCACACCATATCAGTCACACACACACAAATAAATTAGTCAGGCATTGACAGGTTTTCCACGTACAACAAAAAAGTCTGCCAAGCGTTCCAAAATCTTTTAACAGACCCCTTCAGTGTATAACGTATTTTTTTTCCAATGGATATGATACATCACCTCCCTTATCCAATGTACATATACTGGGGGGTGTGGGTCCTTCCAGTTGCACAAAATTAGCCTCCTGGCCAGAAGAGACCCAAAAGCAATCACATTCTTCTTGTATTTGCTGAAAGATGTATCCACAGGGACCTCCCTGAACAATGAGATGAGTGGTGATGGGTGAACAGTTTTGCCACACACTCCAGAGAAGGTGTCCAAAATAGATTACCAACAAGTCTGCAGTTTGGGACAAGAACGTATGCAAGAGTGTAGCTGGAGTTTGTTTGCAATGATTGCATGCAGAGTCCAGGTCGGCTTTGATCTCGGACAACTTGTCTTTGGACCAGTGCAACCTGTGCACTACCTTGAATTGAATTACAACATGTCTCAGACAGATTGAAGATGAGTAAATGTTCTTAATAATCCTTCTCCAGATTGAGTCTGATATGGATTCCTCCAAGGCTGTGTTCCATTTCAGTTTAAGGGAGTCCAAACTGGACTCATGGTATGAACTGGGCAGTGTATAAATATTGCTAAGGGCTCCCCTGGTATCAGACCAGCATTCCAAAATCTTGGCCACAAAATGTTTAGAGGGATACAAAGGAAAACAATCAGAGTTAAATCTCACAAAATGTCTCAGCTGCAGATATCTGAAAAATTGTAACTTGTGAATATTAAACTTCTGTACCAGCTGCTCATAAGAGGCAAATCTACCATCAGCATAGAGATCACACAGTGAATGCACTCCCTTCCAGACCCATGTGTCAAAAGCTGTATCAGCTACAGAGGGAGTTGATTATTGATTGATTATTCAATGATTATTTGGCACAGGTGCCAAGAACAGTAACTCTGTAGAATTAAATGCCCTCCTGAACTGATTCCAAATCTTAACTGCCCAGATCACAATCAGGTTAGAAGTGTAGGTTGATACTGATTGTTTAAAGGGCAGCTGAGAGCAGAGTATTGCAGAGGGGGAACTGGATCTTACCGAGGCCTTTTCCAAGGCCACTCAGCTGGGAGAACGGGTGTCCTTACCCAACCGAAATTGAAGAGCTCTGATATTAGCTGTCCAGTAATAGTGCATGAAATTAGGAAGTGACGTGCCTCCAAGCCTGCGGGGCAGATGTAAGACCCTCTTGGCAAACTGTGAATGCTTTTTATTCAGAATAAAAGCTGATATCAGGCTGTTCCAATTGGTAAAGAAAGATTTAGTAAGGAAGACTGGTAGATTCTGAAACAGGTATAGAACTTTAGGTAGGATATTCATTTTTACATTTTTACCTTCTGCCCCCTAGAGTGTGAGGCAGGGATAGCCATCTAGCAATGTCCTGCTTAAGGTTCGCCATGAGAGGTAGAAAATAGGTTTTATAGAGGTTTTTATGATCTCGAGTTACCCAGATCCCAAGGTACTTAACTTTTTTAAACTAATTTTATAGGGTATGGTGTCCAAGATTTTCTTTCCTATAGAGGTCACAGACATCACCTCACTCTTTTGAAGGTTGACCTTATAGCCAGATATTTTCTCAAATTTTTGAAGCAAAATAAGTATGCTGGTAATGCTGGTAAGAAGGTCTGATATATACAAAAGTATGTCATCCACATATAAAGAGACTTTGTGCTCCATACCTAGTCGATACATCCCTTTAATGATGGAGTTCTGCCAGAAACCTACAGCTAACGGTTCTATCGCAAACACAAATAAAAGTGGCGAGAGTGGGCACCCCTGTCTCGTACCCCGCTGCAGTGTAAAATAGGAAGATATATTACAGTTGGTGTGGACCGCCGCCATTGGAGAGGTATATACTGTATCAGCCTCACCCATGATATGAATTTGGGACAAAATTTAAATAACTTTAAAGTCTCGAAGTGGTAGCCCCACTCCACCTGGTCAAATGCTTTCTCCACATCTAATGAAAGAATGACTTTGTCACAGGTGTGTTTTTTCAAGTCAGTTCAAAGTTTATTTATATAGCACATTTAAAAACAACCACAGCTGACCAAAGTGCTTCACAAGAATTACAACATTGTAGATAAAAATATGATAAAAGAAATACAATTGAGTTGAATAAAAATAAAAGTATAATAAAATTTACAGTAAAATACCAATAAAATAATAGTACTAATAAAAACTAAGACAACTATTGCATATTTGCTGCAATTTTCCCAAAACTCAAGTCAGTCAGGTACTAATTTGAGTGAAGGCCAGGGAGAATCTATAGATTTTTAATCTTGACTTAAACTGATCTACTGACGGAGAGAGCTTCACAGACAGAGGGAGACTGTTCCACAGTCTGGGTGATGCCACAGAGAAGGCTCTGTCACCTCTAGTCTTCAACCTAGATTTAGGGACAGCCAACAAAATCTGGTCGGCTGACCTCAGGGCTCTGGACGGAGTGTAGGGCTGCAACAGCTCGCTTAGGTAAGACGGGCCCGTGGAGTTTAAACACTTAAAAACAATCAATAAAACTTAAAATTTCACCCGAAAAGCAACAGGTAGACAATGAAAAGAGTCCAAAACAGGGGTAATAGATTTGTGCCTCCTTTTGTTCGTCAACAGATGGGCTGCAGCAGTTTGGACACTCTGCTATTGCTGCAGGGAGCTCTGGTCCAACCCTAAATACAAAGAATTACAATAATCCAAACGCAATGTAATAAATTAATGGATAGCCCTCTTTAGATCAGGCCAAGGAAAATAAGGTTTTGTTTTTGCAAGGGTCCTCAACTGGAAGAAACTGGCTTTGATAACAGTCCAGATTTTTTTTACAAACGGAGGACAAAGGACCAACCACAGTGACATGCCCAAGCAGGGGATTGCATTGACCGAACACCAAAATCTCTGTTTTTTTTTTTTTCCTTATTCAGGGTCAGAAAATTTGCTCTCAACCATGCTTGTATGTCCCTAAAACAATTCTGTAACACATGTACAGCAGACTGGCTGTCATTTGTAGTTACAGGTAGATATATTTGAATGTCATTGACTAAGCAATGAAAAGAGACTGTGCTTTTTAAAGAGAAAAACCCAGAGGCAGCAAGTACAAGGCAAAAAGAACAGGTGCTAATATCGACCCCTGGGCCACCCTATATTTCAGAGGAGACACAGAGAAGGAATACTGACCTAGATTTACAGAAAAACTCATATTTGAGAGATAGGATCAAAACCAATTTAATGTTGTACCATGAATCCCAACAAGTGTCTCCAGACGGGTCAAAAGGATGCTGCGATCCACAGTGTCGAAAACAGCAGACAAATCTAAAAGAAAGAGAACTGCTGATTTACCTGCATCAACAGTTAAAATTCAGTTCAATTCAGTTTATTTATATAGCGCCAAATCACAACAAAGTTGTCTCAGGGCACTTTACAGAAACATTCACATAAAAGCCAATTAGTAAAGTTCTCTATCTAAGGAATCCAGCAGACAAGATGAATCTTGGCTTCCTTGCAGTCTCTCATCCTGAGCAAGCACAGTGGCAACAGTGGAAAGAAAAGCTCCCTTTTAAAAGGAAGAAACCTCCAGCAGAACCAGGCTCAGGACAAGCGGCCATCTGCTTTGACTGGCTGGTCTGAGAGGACAGGAAGGAGAGACAGACGAACACAGAGTGGCAGGTCCAGATGTGCAGTTGTACCTGAAAGACAAAAACAACACATGTTAAGGATAGAAAAAATAATTACAAATACAAAACAGGTTGAGCAGAGTAAGTAAAGACAGTAGCAGAGTGAAAATTGTGGTCAGTTTGTCCTCCAGCAGTCTAAGCCTATAGCAGCATAACTAAGGGACAGCTCAGGAAACCCAAGCTGACACTAAATATAGGATTTATCAAAAAGGAAAGTCTTAAGCCCAGTTTTAAAACTGGATAATGTGTCAGCCTCACGGACAGAGATTGGAAGTTGGTTCCACAAGAGAGGAGCCTGATAACTGAAAGATCTGCCTCCCATTCTGTTTTAGTAAATTCTAGGAACCACAAGTAAACCTGCAGCCTGAGAGCAAAGTGCTCTGTTAAAAAAATATGGAACAATAAAATCTGTAATAGATGGAGCCAGGTTGTTGAGAGCTTTATAGGTTAGAAGTAAGATT